TGACTGCTTCCCACGTCTTCGATAATAAAAATGGGTAGGAAAGTGTCAACAGGTTAGTCTAGTAAAATAAATTAAACAAAGAACTAATCAAACTTTAAGTAATTAAAAATCTTGGGGAAAAAATATAGCTTAATCCAAACTAAGTTTAAGTTGCATTCAACTGGGTCATAGTATATGATATTTATAACTAAATTTTGATTTGTCTATATAATATTTTAACTTTATATGCTTAGTATCTTCTACAAATTCTCTGATTAGTTGACTTTTATCGTTTTATATCGAGCAGTAACACAAAGCATATATAACTAAATACACCATACGAATGGGCTCTTCGGTGATGATGTAATGCGAAGCATCGGAGATTACGCGCGCAAACGTAACCTGACATTCATGGCGCCATGGCGGCGTTAAACCGTTAAACTCATTTGCCTACAATGCAACTCAACGCTTTTTTTTTCCCAACTCTCAAGGCTTTTATTTGTCTGTCTTATAACTATACAAATATATTACACTCATATAATATATTGTTTCTCTTGGATGACATAGTGTTGTTGTAAATTAAATAATATATATAGAAAATCAACTAAAAAACTAACCTTTGTTACAATAAAACGTATAAAAATTATAGACAAAAGATAACTACAGTCTACACTTCGTATCTCGGGTGGAATTTAATAAATGCATAAAACTAAAGCGTTACGATCATGGACTATGTCGTCTATGCATAACAAAGATATTATTCTTAACTCTTTTTTTACTTCGATATTGTTCTTAATTGCTCAACACGCGTTGCTAGTATATGTATACTATTTGTAACTGCAACCGTGCAACAAACATATTATATGATTTACTTTCTTAAAAAGTAATACTTTTGTTTGTTAAAGCTTAAAAATAACAATCAAGTATCAATATCAAAAACTTGATGTCGTATGCTGTGATAGTGTGATCGAATATATATTTATGCACTAAGACATCTATCATGTTGAATCATCTATCATGTTGAATCTAATAAAAGGAATATGGGCACTGTAAATAAACGTTTTCTTTAAGTTATATCATCTTGAATCTAATAAACAGAGAATAGGACTCTGAAAAGTTTCATCAGCTTACAATGTGAATCAGCTAATTATAGTTACAATTTACTACTGTAAATACAATGAATTCACAAAAGTGACTCTGCAAATTTCATCAGTTTTATATAACGGTCACGAAAAGTAAGTTAACTGTTGTATGCATTAATATATTTATACGTTATAATACTACGTTTTTAACGTTGTAACCATTTTTTTCAATAACTTTTTCAGTAAACATCCATTATACAGTCAATTCCTTTATATGAATGAAAAAATGGAGCTTCCGTTTTGTTGTATAAAACGATAAGCTTTATAAGTGCTCTGAAATCTTAATCACTTTTATTTTTTGCACTTATTATGTTTGATGTGTATTTGTCTAGTAGATTGCTGAATAAAGAGCATATTAATTCATTGTATTCAATCAACTTTTTTTCTTGTGGCTGAAAAGACAAGCTTTAAAAAAAATATCTATAAATAAATATTTGATTTGGCTTATGTTTAATCATCAGAACAATTATCAGTACCCGCATAATTGACAATACAACATTTTGTGCAAACTTAAAAAACTTAGATTTTGATAAGTAATCTTCAACATATCAAACAAGCAAGCAAACGCAAAGTTGCCAAATTTATGAATATATCAAGTAAAAAGTACTACACTGGGGTAAAAAAGAATGAAGTACACACAAAGGATTATTAATAAATACCAAAGACAACATTCCCCTTGAAAAAATAAACAAAACATTAATAGAAATAAAAGATAGCTTTCGAAATAATTTATAAAAATTAACAAGAGGGAGGAGTGACCTGTAGTTGTTTTTTCTCGGTTATAAATACCTGAAGGCAGCGTTTCATCTTTGAACCCCACAGCAAAAAAGCCACTCTCCTTTCTCTCTCTCTCTGTTTTGCTTCCATGGCCACTAAGCTCGACACCAGCAGCTTGCTTTTCGCTCTCTTGTCCAAATGTAGCCTCCTTACTCAAATCAATATCGCTTTCTCTCTCGTCGTAGCCTCTCTCGCATGTCTCACTCTCTCTCTCTTCTTCTGGTCTCATCCCGGAGGCCCCGCATGGGGAAAATACTTCCTCCATCGCCGCCACCAAACCACCGTGATCCCCGGACCAAGAGGCTTACCTTTTGTCGGAAGCATGTCTCTCATGTCCAACGCTTTGGCTCACCGTTGCATAGCCGCAACCGCAGAGAAATTCGGAGCCAAACGGTTAATGGCGTTTAGCTTGGGAGACACTCGCGTGATCGTCACGTGCAATCCTGATGTGGCTAAAGAGATTCTAAACAGTCCGGTTTTCGCTGACCGACCGGTTAAGGAATCAGCGTATTCCCTTATGTTTAACCGGGCTATCGGTTTCGCACCTTACGGCGTTTACTGGCGAACGTTGAGGCGAATCGCTTCTAATCATCTCTTCAGCCCGAAGCAGATCAAACACTCACAAACGCAGAGACGTGTGATCGCGAATCAGATCGTGAGGTGTCTCGCAAAACAGAGCAACAACAACAGAGGACTCTGTTTTGCTCGTGAGTTGATCAAAACGGCTTCGCTTAATAACATGATGTGCTCTGTTTTCGGCAAAGAGTACGAGCTTGAGCAAGAACACGATGAAGTGAATGAGCTTCGTGGATTAGTCGAAGAAGGTTACGATTTACTCGGAACACTTAACTGGACCGATCATCTCCCATGGCTGTCGGAATTCGATCCTCAGAGAATCCGGTCTAGATGCTCCAATCTCGTCCCGAAAGTTAACCGGTTTGTGGACCGGATTATCTCTGACCACCGTCGTGATCAAACTTGTGACTCGCCGCCGAGAGACTTCGTTGACGTTTTGCTCTCTCTTGATGGTCCGGATAAATTATCCGACCCCGATATCATCGCCGTTCTTTGGGTATGTACACGTGGCTTTCTTATTCTTACAGAAAAAAACACAAGAAATCATTTTTATTGTACTCTATGGAAAGTGACGATCAACTATAATTAAATTATTCAGATCACAAAAAAAAACAAATCGGATAATTAAATGATGCAATTTTAAGTAATACTACGAAGATTCTAAAGTATTCGGATGTTGTTGTCTTTAACAGGAAATGATATTCAGAGGAACTGACACGGTGGCTGTTTTGATCGAGTGGATTCTTGCAAGGATGGTCCTTCATCCAGATATACAATCGACGGTTCACAATGAGCTTGATCAGATCGTAGGAAGATCAAAAGCCGTCGAAGAGTCTGACGTGGCATCTTTAGTATATCTGACGGCTGTAGTGAAAGAAGTCCTGAGGCTTCACCCGCCAGGCCCACTTCTGTCATGGGCCCGCTTAGCAATCACAGATACGATCATCGACGGTCGTCGTGTACCGGCGGGGACCACAGCAATGGTGAACATGTGGGCCATTGCGCACGATCCACACGTGTGGGAAAATCCGTTGGAGTTTAAGCCCGAACGGTTTGTAGCGAAGGAAGGTGAGGTCGAGTTCTCGGTGCTCGGGTCGGATCTTAGGCTTGCACCATTCGGGTCAGGCCGTCGGGTTTGCCCTGGGAAGAATCTGGGTTTGACCACAGTGACGTATTGGATCGCAACGCTCTTGCACGAGTTTGAATGGCTACCATCTGATGAGAAGACCGTTGATTTGTCCGAGAAACTGAGGCTCTCGTGTGAGATGGCTCATCCTCTTGAGGCTAAATTGCGTTGGAGGCGCAGTTTAAGCGTATAATAAGATACATTCATACGAATGAAAAAGAAATTAGTGTGGCAATGCGGAAAAGAAAATGAAGGACAAAAAAATACTAAAGGAAAAGGAAAAAAAAGTTAAATATGCTATGAAGCTTTTTTTTATATTGAACCAACATCTTAACACGCGACGTGTTTGGTGGTGTGAGGAGTGATGTATTGTAAATATAATGAAATCATTAATGAGTACTATGTGGATGTAACAGAGAAAAACAAAAAGTTAATGAACTAGTTATGTAGTTTTTCTATCTACATTTTGAAAACTTAATTTCATCACTTGTATGTTCTTATATTTTGTTTTTATCAATGCTATTGGATAAAGGACAAAAACTATACGATCGACTTGGTGGAATCGTGGATAGGAGGTTTGGTAGTTTACGGATCACCGAGGAACAAAAGAAGAAAGTTATCAAAGTTGATGATGTCACAAGAGAGAATTCTATGTTTCCTTATATGGATCTCGAAAACACGAGAGATGATGTTATCAAATATAAACAGGATTCCTGATTTGGTTTGGAACACTTGGGGTTGAAGGCTACAAAGATCGTTCCACATGTATAAAATATATATATATATATATAAAAATTAAGCCAATGTTTTTAGATTATGTTTTTGTTTGGTTTAGATTATTTATTTTTTTGTTTTTTCTTTCATATGCTCATGAAATAACTAATGTTGCGGACGACATACTCCTAGATAGGATTTACAATCATGTTCAGTTTTTCAAAATGCCTTGCAAGATTCTACTTTTCACTGGAGATTGCGATTTTGCGAATAGGATGAGTATGTTAACTAATTTCAACCGTTGCCATTCAGATGCATTTCAACAACGTTTTTGGATGGCAGTTTCGAATTTAGGTACGAGATTGTTGTTTTATGATATTTTCATTTTCTGAGTTGTTTTTTTTGGTTTTGTTTCTTTTCTTTACTCATCAAATAATTAAGCGGATTAATTACCAAAAAAAGAAAATTAAGCGGATTAATGATATTATGAGACTATACAGGTGTTTTTATAGTCAACTTATTGAAGTATTATTAAATCAAAGAAGGCATTTACAAGACTAATTACAAGACTAATTAAATAATTGTAGGTTATAAGAAACCGTGGTCTAGTTTCAAAACTGTATAACTACAGGGACCATTTTGCTATTCTAGGAAATGTTGTTCCTTGACAAAGAAGGCATTAATATTCAACTCGATATAGGACCAGAATTGAGCAAAGACTGCAAATTCAAGCCCCCGGATTTTATCATCTCAGCGAAAACTTCCTTGGCTCTAACGTATTTCCCATTCTAACACAGTTCATTTTATCACAGTATTATAAGTATAAACTCCTCAACTCAAACGCCTCTTCCAGGAGGCCTTTACTAAGAGTAGACGCTATTACCCATTATTCTACTTCTCACCCTAATTGCAATATTTTTACAATCCACCATTAAAAAAGGAAGAAGGAAAGTTTCAGAAGATTTGCATATATATAGTCAGACTGATAATACACATCCAAAATATTAGGAATTAAGGCCATTTAGTAAACTCAAAGACCTTAAGAACGATATCAAGACCTGTTGGGATTTGCCAAACGAAAAGAAGAACATTTACACCATTCAACGCAATGTGTAGATTCCTCGCCGTCTCATTCCCTTTCTGCATCGCCGGCACTAAAGCCGCCGCCAATGCCCAAAGCACCGTTATCCCTGCAACCACCAACGTCACCTCAATTTTGTTACTTGTCATGTAATGCAATTATGCAAACGAGTAAATTAATTACGAGGCTATTAGTTAATTAATGGTATTGGTACCTGCGCCGGCGTAAAGATGAGGACCGGGAAAGAGTTTACCGGTACGAAGATAAGTGTTGACTCCTCCAAAGACAGCTTCCAACACACCAAAGCCTAACAAAACAGAGCCTGCGTCGAAGTGTTTGTCTCTGTAAGACCCTTTGACCAACTCTTTCCTCTCTGCCGTGAGCCGTTGGATCTCAAGCTCCGTCGGCGAAGAAGATTCAACGGCCGTGGATCCGTCAGGAGAAACAGGTGTTGGTTTAAGCTGTTTCTTGAGCTCGTTGATATCGGTCTGGATCGTACGGACACGCCTCCATTGCCAACCTAAGTAACCAGCCCATAGAGTGTACGCGAACAAGCCTCCCATCACAATCGGGTGTATCAACGCGAACGATCTTCCTTCCAAGATCCCAAATTCACCTCCAGCTGCTGCTGCATCCTTTCAATTCAAACAAATTTCTTGATCAAGAAATAGATTCTGACAAGTTGTCATCATTCGATCCCAATTGAATTATCCTACGGATTGTTAGACAGAATGTGAGACGTTTAAGTACCTGTGGATCGAGGAAGAAAGGCAATGCGACGAGAGCGAGAGGGAGAGAGGAGGATTTAAGGAGCTGGAGGGGGTTGGGATTGGAGGGTATTTCTGGGATTTTGCATGGTTGTGATTTGGAGATTGGTTTGAGAGAGTTTAGGGTTTTAGGGTGATGGGTGCGAGGAAGAAGATGGAGTGTGGAGAGACAATGAAGTGTGGTCGCCATACTCTCTCTCTCTCTCTCGCTGATTTGTGACAAAAAAAAAAAAGAGTGAAGAATCAAGAGACGCTTAAGCCTTAACCGTAGAAAAAACGAACCTAACAGATAAGAGAACTCCGTGGAAGCTGCAGACGTGTCATAAAAGTAGACACTACATAAATAATAATTTTTTTTATCTTTTTTTTCTTTCTCTTCTTTGCCGACGAAAATCTCCTAATTTAGCATATAGAAAACGAGCCGTACGTGTGTATTTCACTCGTTTGAGGAACAAATATATGAAAATACGACAAAAGAAAAAACACATTTGTTAAGTAAAAACAATGTGTCGCTTTTGAAGTTTTAAAAAGTTTATCTTGGAAGTGATTTGAGTTTTCTGATATATAGGAAAAGGATAGATGTGCCCTATGTTCAAAATATCGGTAATCGTTAATTGGACAGTCGGGTCGGGATTTGGGATTTTTTTTTAAAATAAGGATTAAGCGGGAATTAAATGAGGATGAAATTTTGACTATATTTTATATATTTTTTAATATTTTCATATATTTAACACAATAACACATATAGAATCAACATAATCACATTTCAAACAAATATATATTGCAATTTCACTAATTCACATCTATTATAAAAAAAATTATACAATTTTCTCAAAAATTAAAGCTACATGACGTTGCAGCAACTCTTATTGGACCTAATTTAAAGGAAAATTGGCAATTAAGCCCAGCCCATTAAAGTAATTGCACGCCACTTTTTGCTAAAGAACGTTGACTTTGGTCAACCTATGGTTCAATGCAAATAAGCTCCGATTTTCATTAATATGTTCGGCGTGCCACCGATGAGCGATTTTCGGACCGATTTCTGACTGAAATCGGCGATTTTTTTAACATATCATGTGCCAAACGAATCCATGAGGAAGGACTAAATGTTAAATTACAAGAAACCGGGGTCTAATTTCAAAACTTTATACACTGCGGGACTACTTTGCTATTCTAGGATACTTATAACAAACTGGGGTCTAATTTCAAAACTTTATACACTACGGGGACTACTTTACTATTCTAGGAAACTATGTTCCTTGACAAGAAAGGCATTGATATTCAACTCGATCTATGACCAGAATTGAGTAAAGACTGCAATTAAAAACTGAATCACAATTGATCATCGTGAGAAAATCCTCTCTGCAGCATCTTCATCGTGAAACCGAAAAGTCTCTGTTAAGTTTTCTTGAGAAACAAATTCATTGATCAGACAAGTATAAGTTGATTTTGACTCTTACCAATTGGCTTATATCCAAGTTAGCAATAGGCATATATCCTAGTTACGAAGTCGACAGAATAACACATTTTAGTGGATGATGACAACGAATATTTTGCTACTCTTTCACAAACTTTGATATTTCATGATGTTAGAACCACTTTAAATATAGAGAAATCTGTAACTGATATTCCAGTCACTAACTTTTTTGGTTAATTTATCAAACTAAACCTTTGAAGTAATTGAAAGGGTCTTCCTTCGAATTACAATTGCAATTAGGAGAGTTCTAAATAAACTATTCATAATGTGGATTTTTGATTCTAATCAAAGATTAGTTTCTGCCTTCATTACTAAATTTTTGAGACAAAAAAAAAAAACAATAATTAAGCATTCCTCAGTCATGTGATAGTGACAAACCCAAACATTTCTCCTTCGGTAGATCAATTTATGAAATTTTACAAAAATAAATAAGAGCCAACTTTAGCTTATATATGAATGTATTTTGATTAGATACACGCAAGTGCTCTTAACATTGTAGTTGGTCGTATTTGTATTTTATATATTCCAAATACTCGAGTTGACTTTTAGAGCTTGTCACGATCGTTGTAGTTGCAGAAGTTTATTTAACGCATACAAGAATAATCCAGCTACCGTATCAAATTAGTATGCCTATTTCTATAAATTTTTACCCACTTTGATTTTTTACCATTTTATTCAGTTCCGAACAAATACATATTGACTTGGCCGTTTCATATTTTGTAAAATATCTACCGACAGTAACTATCATGCCTCTTTTTTATTTTTTTCTATCAACACTTTATAACTCTTGATTCTTTCCACTCTACGAGTCTCTAATCTCTCTCTAAACCTGTAATCGATTTTGGCCATGGGAGTTCTCCGGGATACGATACTCTGGTTACTGGTTTCAGGGACGGTATTGTTCTTGGCAAGGATTGTTTTGTTCAAAACCGGATTGATTTACCTGGTTAAGAGATGGCGGAGGAAAATCGCCGACTGTTTTCAGGTTTACCAGTTCTACAAAATTCCCGCGTTCAACGACAACATGCAGGAGAATCAATTATACCGTAGAGTTTACGCGTTTTTGAATCCCCTCAGCTCAATCGAAAACTCCGATTTCACTAATCTCTTCGCCGGAAAAAAACCAAACGAGATCATCCTCCGTCTTGATCAAAACCAGGTGATCACCGACGAGTTTCTCGGCGCTAGAGTCTGTTGGATCAACGTAGAAGACGACGACGACGGTTCCCGGAGTTTCGTTCTGAAGATTCGCAAGGCTGATAAACGGAGAATCCTTGCTCCGTATCTCCACCATATACACACTGTCTCGGAAGAGCTCGAACAGAGACGACACACGGAGCTGAAGCTATTCGTCAACGTCGGATCAATCGATAACGAAACGAGAAAGACGAAGAAGAACGGGAGATGGAGATCGATTCCGTTTACTCACCCTTGCACATTCGACAGCATCGCCATGGAAACGGATCTGAAGGAGAAAGTGAAATCGGATCTGGAATCGTTTCTCAACGGGAAACAGTTTTACAATCGACTCGGACGAGTTTGGAAACGGAGTTATCTCCTCTACGGACCTTCCGGCACCGGGAAATCAAGCTTCGTCGCGGCGATGGCTAATTTCCTTAATTACGATGTCTACGACATAGATCTATCGAAAGTAAGAGACGATTCCGATCTCAAAATGCTTCTGTTACAAACCACGAGCCGATCCTTGATCGTGATTGAGGATCTAGATCGGTTTCTCTCCACGAAATCGACGGCTCTAAGCGTTTCAGGTATTTTGAATTTCACAGACGGGATTCTCAGTTCGTGCGCCGCCGATGAACGGATCATGGTGTTCACGATGACTTCCAAGGAACAGATTGACCCGGCGGTGCTCCGTCCGGGTCGGGTCGACGTTCACATTCATTTTCCGTTATGTGATTTCACGGCGTTTAAGGCGTTAGCGAACAGCTATTTGGATTTGAGAGAGCATAAGCTATTCCCTGAAGTAGAAGGTATCTTCCAGAACGGTTCGTCGCTAAGCCCCGCCGAGATCGGAGAATTGATGATCGCTAACAGAAACTCGCCGAGCAGAGCACTCAAATCCGTAATCAAAGCTTTGCAAACCGACGGAGATCGGAGAGGAACTCTGGCGATCGGACGGCGGGTGTTTCACGAAAGATTCCCATCGGAAGATTTTGACGGAGACATGAGTGGACCTCTATGCGGTGGAGGAAGCTCGCCGGCGGTGAAAGATTTCAAGAAGCTGTACGGACTGTTAAGGCTAAAAAGTAACAGAAAATCTCAGTCGTTCGATTATGCTCGGGAGCTAAGGAACGGTTCGTGATTTAAATTTTGGAAAGTCAACTGACAGGTGGGATTCTGTGATTGGTTGCGAGGGTCTGAACAAAGTAGTTGAAGATGTACATATGTTTTATGATTTGGTCTTTGGTTTGAACTTTGAAAGATATACAGATTTTATTTTTGAAATGTAGATTTTGTAGAAAACTATAGTTGTTGAATTCCCCATTTCTCTTCACAATTTTTTTAAAGGAACCTGGATATAATTGGTTGATTAGACTGGTTATTACGTATACGTAATGATTATACTTATTTTATAATGTTTTGTTGAGGTTTTTGCTAAAACATTTACAAAAGTATACTATATGTCATCACATCTCAGGTGAGCTAATGATCATAGTATTAATAAGTTGTCAAGTTTAAATGGATAGTTATTTGATGCTGCAATTTGTTTGAACAAAATTATCTACTTTTAGGGTCACGCTACTCATCAGGTGAGGATAAACGGGCCGAATAAGGCCCAATAAGCATCGAAATCCTTTAGTCATCACACGACGTCGTTTCCACCGATGCAAATAATCTGAAAATAAACAACATAATTTTATGCAGAGGGAAGAAAAACGTACAACTAGAAATAGTAAACGATCGAGAATCGGTGGTGTTTCTTCTACGAGTATATTGATATCGACTAATTTTATAATTTAAGGAGACAGGTCCTTTTATTCCTTCGATTTCTTTGGCCTGAAGATAACAACAGCTTTCTAGATTTTTAAAAATATAGTTGACTCGATGGGATCCGTTGCGTTATGTTTTCTTAATTGTTTTGAATAAAGCGACCATGCGCAGATAAATCTAAGATTTCTTATAGACTACGAGAATATCGCGTTTGATTTCATTTTATATATTTAAATGTGATTAACAGTATAATTCAAATATAGTCAGTAATTAAATAATCAAATTAACACAACCCCAATGAAAAATCATGTTTGGTTGGCGGGCACTATAAAGTGGGCATCTACTTCCGCATTTCAAGCCAGCTACTAAATACTAATCATCATGTGTTCATACTCACATTTATCCTTTTACATATAACAAATACTACTATTCTGACAAAAGTGTACGCAGTATAATATTTGAAATTGTTAAACATCTATACATCAATGTCATGATCTGTTTTTAATGGTTTCGATATGTATTAGTATAAATTAAAAACATTCTTTCTCATGTAGCAAGTTGACGAAAGTATCTAACTTCTCTAAATTTGCAGAGCTGAAAATAATATATTCCAGCTAGTCAGCTAGACGAAGATTAATTAGCGGATTAGGTGGATGAACCGTGAAGGGTACGGTTTAACTATTATTATTATTATCATGTTTATTAAAAAAAAAATGTCGAGTGGAATGTGACATTGCGGTAAATCTGGTAGTAACGAGAATTCAAGGAAACCATGCCGTCGTCTCCGAATCTTAGTGGGTGTTGCTTTATGATAATTAATTAATTACTACTAATGATGATGATTAAATATTGTCACCAAATTCACAGATATCTTAACGTAATTAATGTTACAAACGGCTTTTAGTTGGAGCAGGTTAACTTAGGGCCTAAACACTTTTATTTTTGTTAGTGTGTTAATTACATGCTTGAACTTCTTATTTGAAAATTACTCAAAATAGTTGTCCTTTCAGGATATGTTTTCTTTCTTTTTTCTCTCTAGAAGACTGTTGTTTGTAACTTTTAATTCGTGTGAAAACTTTCAAATCATACTCACATACAACGGGACATGCATAGTAATGATTTTACGTTAAAAAGGATAAAACATTGCTAAGTTCACGCACAGGCACAAAAGTCAAAAAGATGAGGAACTCTATAAGTATATTAGTGTCCCCAAAATGCGATGCTTTGGGATTTGATAATCATGACTCTTCGTGGATAATGATTCCGATCATCCTTTTTTATTTTATATTTCCTCTCTCTCTGTCTCTCCCTCTCTTACTCATGAGGTGGAGCTTGGCCTCGAACCAAATGAGATACACAATCAGGCTATTTAATTTTATTACCCATTACATGAACTAGAAATACTACATTATGCATAACTGAAACTTAAGTTTTGGGATGCAAATGGTATAACTTCATGGATTGTGTCTATGGCCAAAGTTGGTTACAAATCGTTGCTGCTTGCTACCAATGAAAACAACCTCAGTAGTTTGTTTTGTTATATTTCAATATAGATCGGACTATGATTAGAAATATAGATATAAATTACACAAATGAATAATACTTCTACAAATAGAAGAAATGATGAATACAGATCTCACTGATTACACACAAAAGCCCTCGTATTCACTTATTCTTCTACTTTCATATCACACACTCCCCACGAAGACCCTTTTGAAACTAAAAAAATATAAATTACCATAAAACCCAATTATGAAATATATAGAAAAAGAACAACCCGAAAAGAAGGAATAAAAAGACAATCTGTAAACTAAGTTCTGACAACTTTAACTAAAGTACCCCATGTGATAAAAAACAAAAGATCATCAAAGTAAAAATATAATAAAATTAAGAGAAGAAATGCAAGTTCATGATCTCTTTTAAACCTTTTCACCACGAAGATCCTCCTGTATTACTGAACATGCCACTCCAATATGTATTATTACCATGGCTCTTCTCTTGGGCTGTGCCCGAGAGCTCTTTCATGTCCGAAAAAGGGAACAAAACCCTACTTGCTCCATTCATGTCATCATGATTATTATCTTCAGCTCTTTGGTTGTTGATGGTGTTATGTCCAATCCCTTGATGATGATCAATGGAGAATGAAAGGTTGTTGTTACTCTGCTTGTAATCAGCCATTGTTGGAAACCCTAAAGATGAGTAAAGGACAGAGTTTGAATCCATCATTTGACCAGGCAAGAACGTATTCATGCCTCTTGAAGGGACTCCATTGGATCTTAGAAGCTCGAGAGCTGAGACAGGAGATGACGAAGCATAGTTTGAGGATGAAGTATTGTTGTTCTCGATCTTGGGCATATGAAGAAATTGAGACATACCATGATGATGATGATCTTGCATGACCGGGAAAGACAACAAGTTGAGATCTTTTGACGACTTATTAGGGATTTGGCTTGAGAAAAGAATCGGTGGGTTTAGATCTGGAAGCTTGGAATTGGAAGGTGAAGCTAGAGGTGTTGAGGATCTCTTGTTCTTTCTTGAGCTGCCACCGACAGGGACGTTACGAAGAGAGCCACCTTCGGTCCAATACCTTCGACAACCTTTGCAGAAGTATCTTGGTTGCGTGAGACTGTAGTTGTTGTAGTAACAAAACTTCGTGTTTGTTGAGTTACATCTTGGGCAGTTTACTTTCTCTTGTGGCCTCGCCTTTCTACTTTCCATCGTAGTAGCCGTGTTGTTGTTATTTCCGCCTGAGCCACCGTTGGATGCGGTGGCGTTTGGCCTTGTGGTGGTGGCGATGAATGTTTGCTGTTGTTGTTGTTGCGAGGTGTTGTTGTTGGTATTTGAAATCATTTGCTCCATTGGTTTTACGTTTATCATTTCTTGAAAACCCTATATGAAATGAACATAGACTTTAACTAATCACTGACCATGTCAAACTAGAGAACAATAACAACCAAAACCGAGTCTTGAATTTCGCCAAGATTAGGGTTTGAAAAGATGAATTATATTTAAAGGGATAATTAAGCTCAACTGATTAATAAAATACACTGTCGGTGGTTTATATGAAAAATAATTCGAGAAAGGAGTACCAAAAAAAAAAAACTGGTAAGACCTGAGCACCAAGAACAAAAGGTAAATAACAAATCATACCTTTTTATCCATTAGTTATCAAAATCTATAACTAATCACATAAAAAGGTGAACTTATAGAGAACAAAAGTTCTTTAACTCCATTCGAGAATTTCGAAAGTTTCAAAACGGATAACTCCCATGCAAATATCCATATATAAAAACATGTTCAAATAAAAAAACCATACATATAGACATATCTCTAATAAGATTATACATACAATACTAGAAGAGTATCATGAAAAAACAAATTGTTTCATGCTTACTTACATACATACATACACATGTATATAGCATCCATGTGTATATATGTATGTGAGTAGAGAGATGGAGAGAGGGAAAGAGAGTTAGAGAAGAAGAAACAAACAGATATACCAAAGAGAGATCTTTTTGACGTACCTGCGTCCACTTCGTAGCATCCATGAACTTTGACAAAGAGAAAGGCAGAGAGAGAGAGAGGGTAAAGAGCAAAGAGAGAATGTTTTGGAGATAGTTTCTTTTGGACTTTTGCTTTTTTTGGGACGGTATGGCTCTATGCGTTAGCTTTCACTTTATGGATGATGAAAGAAAGCAGCAAAGAGGAAGAAGAAAAAGAAGAAGAAGAAGAAGAAGAGAAGAAACCTGCAAAAATAAAATATAAAAATTTATATCAAAAAGCAAAAGGAGGGTTTGTTGTTTTTGACTAGTGATAATAATGTCTCATGGCCTCCCTCTCTAGTTCTTTTCTGGTCCCTCTTTTATATATTTTCATAAAACAAAAAAAAAATTGGCTAAATTTTTTCAATTGGTTGGCTCAATAAAATTAGTGACTATGTAATTCGTATGGAGTACAACTTTAAGTAAGTAACAGTGCTCTACTACATACGTATACTATACGTCTAGTGGTTTAAACTTTTTACTATTAACAAAAAAAAACAGCGAATTTCGATTTGAATTGCTTGTCATAATTTCATATATTGCGACTATATTGGAAAAGAATGAGCTATATTATCTTTATTACACATGTTGATTACTCTTATTTCATATCATAATAATACAAAGTTTGAGTGGAATTATGAGTTGTATACTATTCCCGCCACCCATATTTCTCATTTTATAATATTTGTTGGCTTACCATCCGTCAATTACCTTTGTCAATTTCAAAATCCTTATACCATTCTATGACTACGTATAGGTACTACAGTTACTCTGTATATATTATTGTTATGTGTAGATTAGGTTACGAAATTCGGTGGTGATCAAACTTCAAAATACATGATTAGTTTATACTAAAGATGTGACTTAACATGATCGATATAACACATAGTGTTTTGCTTCTAGCTTTTATATTAAGTACTATATATATGTTGACTGTATGTATGGAATATGGATTATTCTTCGGTCGTAATAATACTTTTTCTTTCATTTTAAAAGTATGTTATTTCGACGAAGAAAGGGAACACCAAAATTTGACCCTTTATTTCAATTGTGATCTGCTTTTCGTAAAAGGACCATTATATATTACACAACACATGGCTATATAAAGTTAATATGGTTTTATTCTTAAATCGGTAAAGCAGCTAAAGCTTTAACAAATGTCGCGTTAATCAGATAATTAAACTAAAAGTTTGTAAAAGCATTTAACTGAAAATCGAGGCCAATTATAAGAAACCAAATGAACTTTTCAAACAAACGATACTGCACGAGTTATAATGTTATACTGTATATAACTTTCGCGTTTATGAATCATTATTCTAAAAATATTAAATCACGTGTTCTTAAAACGTAATTATCCAACGTGCGACTTCGTTTTACTAGCTCGAATGAATTAAATCATACATTTTTGTAGTCAAGTAATGAATAATCGTTTCGGACTTATTCAGAGCACACCATTACTTGGGCAACACAAGTCGTTTATAATTAACTTTCATAATGATATACAACACAGCAAATCTACATGTAACTGTAGAAAAAAATAGCAAAAAAATTGGCTATTTTCTCAATAGAAAATAAATTTGGTTGTATATGCATATATTCGGAAGATAAGGGGCTGGAGAAGAATTTAGAAGGACCGACAGGAAACGACAAAAAGGAAGTGGTGGGACCTAATTTAGGGGCGTGATTGAAATATTTAGCTTTTTTTCAAATCTGAGGACTGTTTTCCTGATTACATCCTTTTCTCTTTCCTGATGTTGACACCTGTCTTTCCTACCCAAACTCTTTCTCAATCTCTCGTGTCGTTTTGTGCTCCTAGCTTGACCTTGCCTGCCGTTTTTCTCCAGCCTCCAACGACTAATCCACGTCCACGTGTTCTACAAAACTGCTCAGCTACTTCAGCTAGAAGCATTTGCTGTTACATTCTCCGGCCCATTCTAATCTTCGGCCCATCAATTTTTAGTACGCTTACGAAACATATAACCAACTTTAAAGTTTTAATAAAGTGAAAATTGAGATGTATATTATGTGAATAAAAGAGTTTTCTTTTAAGTGTAGCCACCGAATTTTATGAAACTTTTTATACAAAACAATAATTAAATGGACCGCTTGGATGTAATGATGATCGCATCTGAAAGAATCACATCCTAGCCACTAATCATGCATTATTTGTCCATTCTGTAATGGCCCCCACACCACTTTATCGCAACATGCTATTTTCCATATGATATACATATATATCTATTGAGCACTATACGCATTCGAATCCAGCTCGATCATAAGATAAAGTAATTCGAAACTAAACCAGTCTGTTATTGGCCCATTATGTTAGGCCTATAAAGGCCCATACCAATAAAAACGGCGACGTATCGTTGGTGGCAATTTTATAAAACGTATCGCTTTCAAAAACCAACTTGAGGTTTCGATGTGGTATCATGATCGTCTTCGTCTACTTCAGAGGCCATATCTCTCTCGTTGCTGCTTAGAGAAAGACGACAATGTATTAAATATATGCAAATGTTATATATTGATGATCCAACGCTTGATATATATATTGGTACAACCATTCCTAAAACTATATAAGAGTCAAACCTCCATACTCTTCTGTTGAGGAAAATTAGTCAGAATAAATTCACGTACCACTCAGTACCAGTACAACTATTTTGTTTTCATTTTTGTCATCTATTGATATTTTTAGTTGAGAGATATTTGTACAAGAAAAATATACTGTATGTCTCTGTTTAGCAACAAAAAAGGATTAATTGTAAGAAAAAATAGTTTACTTGAGATTAATTTATTTGCGTGTCTATATTTTTCTATAATCACTGATTAGATTTACATGTGAACCGACCTATCGACCGAACCGATATATTAAATCGCCAACTTAAAAATTGACACGAACAAAAATAAAGCAAAGAGGCCCAAGTCGAAAGTCTTTTTTTATATACACAGATTGGAAAAATCTCTATAGGAACCTCACGACCAAACCACTAAAACGACGTCGCCGAACAAGTAATAACCTTAACTTTAATAATTTTATCGCTACTAATAAAACTCTCACACAAATTAAACTACTACGATGCGTATCATCAATCCATAACACTTTCTTCATTCTCAAACGACGAAGAAATCCTCATCTTCTTAACCTCCTCGCTCGAATATATAAATATCTTCTTCGCCATCTTGCAAAACTCACTGCACATTTCCAATTAACAAAGAGTTGGTGTCAAACAATGCATTGTTAAGTAGACAGATCAAACCAGTTCCGGTTTAGCTTACGCTTAATTGATTTGAGCTAAAACAGGGAATGGTTTAGTTTCACTTACTTCCATGGATCATCTCCAGCAAGCATCATATCTCCTTCATCATCAGTGAAGACAACGATCCATTTGTCTCGAGAAAGAAGCTGTCCTTGGATCTCAAACATCTTCTCAAGCTCGTTGATCAGCTCGTCGTATGATTTCAACAGCGTCAAATCAACCGCACGACCAACCGCTATCCCCTGCATTTGCACCTTTTTCAATCCAAAAACCAAGAAAATCAGATTTCAAAACATTCTGTTGTTATATACGATGAGTGTTAAAGTGGAAAAAGGTGCTTACTTTGGTTCGAGTTCTTGGTGTCTGTTGCTTCTTCTGCTCACTGAACGAGCTTGGAGTGATGGGTTCTTGTAACTTGGCAGCTCCTGAAGTATCGATTGTTTGCTTTTCTGGAGGAACAGGAGCAGTGCTTGTGAGATCAAATCCAAACAACCGATAGGATGGAGGAGGAGGTGGAGGAGGAGGAGTGTCAGCTTTGAAGCTGTGGTTTGTGGAGAAGACAGATGAGTTTCTCTCAGCTGATGGATCTTGAAACAGTTTAGGGGATGCATTGGAGGGCTCTTGGCTCTGAGGGAAGCCGTACAAGAAAGTAGATGGAGCTGGAGTTATAACCGATGGCTCGACAGGTCTTGACCGCTTGCACTTGGGTTGTGGTTGTTGAGCAGGTGTCTGAGTTTTGGAAGTTGACAGGAAAGGCTCAACCTCCCATGGTGAAACTTTATCTGGTCGCTCAACTGTTGTTGGCTCGTCCCATTGAACCTTAAAAGAAGAACAAATAGCATCAGGGAAATGGTAAAGATCACAATGAAAAGTAGGAATGAAAGAAGATTGAATAAATGGTAACCTGCAATGATCTCCATTTGGAAGCTGGCCATTGTGGAGATAGATCTCCGCTTCCCACAATCGTACCCGTAAATCTGAAGAAACTCAACGATTTTCAGAAACAAGAAACACTGCATTAATGAATGATCAGAGGATAATGAATTATGAAACTTACATTCTCTCAGGAGATTCTTCTCCTTCAAATCTCATTCTGAATCGTGTACCGAGAGAAAACCCTTGCTTCATAGCTTCCATGTACTTGTTCACTCCTACTATGAATTGGCTTATCCTGAAGACAAACAAAAAACTTTCTTTAAGTCTCAAGTCCTAAAAGGTTATGAAAATCAATGTGAATATTGCAAAATCTTGTATTCATACATACCTAGGCTTGTAGAAGACAACAAAGAGTGTTTTAGTAAGCACAGCATGAGAAGCTGTGGCAAGAACTCCTAAATGCATGCTCTGACTCGATATAACCGAAGTCGGCATCGTGCTTTGATGCCTAGCTAATCGCCTCACTCCAACTCGTAAATCCCCACTCTCACCCCTAAACGACACAAAAGGTACAATTTTCATGAATGAATTTTTCATAAAACTAAAAGACACAAAGATCACTAAAGTTATAGAAGAAGAAGTAAGTACCGCAAGAACACAAAAGCATCTCCGGCTACAAGTCTTTTGGAGGATACAAATGTACTCCAACCTGTCGTGAGCAAATGCCTCCTAGGTTGTCCTGCACAAACACACATCCCATGCCTCCATTAGCCTAAAATCACAGTTCCAAATAATATATACTCCCAAGAGTTATTAGTGTGAAAACATACCTCTGAATATATGCTTAAACCTCCATTCAAACCCATGAAGATCTCTAGTAACAAGCTCTTGAGTAGGAGTAGTTTGTGTCATGTCCTGAAAAGGAGTCAAATTGGAGTGAGAATTCAAGCTTAAAGCTTCTTCAACTGAGGGAGAAGATATGTTCTAAAGGATATATAATTACCAAGGTAGGCAAACATTCAGTGGCGTGTTTACGCAGAACAGAGAATCCACCATGAGTGCTTGTATCTGAAGCCGTTAGAATCTTAACAAACGAATGAAACGTTTCTTTTGTTGGTTCAACGATAGGTGGATCAAGACTTGTCGGTTCATTTTGCTGCAAAACAAAAATTCAAAATCTCTTCCATCAAATCACAATGCCTAGAAGAAGAAAAAAAAGTTATCTTTTTTATATGCTCAAGCTTTAGAGAACTTACATCTTCCTCTGGTTGTAATGTGATCTGAGCGTAAACTTCGTCTGTTTCATGCTCCGCCTTCACATCAAAACTTATTTAACATTTTTTCAACAGATTCAGTGGAAAATCAAAGAAATTATGGTCGAATTTTACCTTTAACATGACACTCAGAACTCGGCAGAGTATCTTCGGAGGAAGATTGAAAACAGGTATTTCGTCTGAGTTGATTCCTTGATTCGTTGACGCCACAAGCTGCAAAACCCAGAAATTCAGAAAGAGGAAATGGGAGAAAGAAAACAGAAAGTAAAGAGATGAAATTTGGGGTATTTACTTGTTCCATGTGACCCTGAGGGAAGTAGAAAACTCTCTCATCAGCAAGAGGAAGCTCCACTAATGGACCTGCACAAGCTTTCCATAGCTCTGTGTACAGTTGATCCTGATAAGACCCTGAAGATCAAACAAACCAAACAAAAAAAAGTCACATTTCCGCGGCAAAACAATAAAAATGCAAACTTTTCTAGCTCTAGATAACAACAAGTGGGGATTTTTCTTTTTCAAGCTCGTTTCTCGAGAAAAGGAAGAAAAAAAAATTGAAGCTTTTACGAAGCTGATTTTTGATTCTACAGAGCAAACTAAACAGAGTCAGTAACTGGTAGAGACCAAAAAAAAATCGAAACTTTGATTCTCTTTCTCTCAAAGTCTCTGCCTTTTTACTTACTTGTCGAAGAGCTTCTGAAATCATCCCCATCTACATTCGCCATTGAGTAACCCCAGATGGAAACAGGAAGGAGAATAAGAAGAAGAGGAAGAAGAAGATGAAAGAAAATCAATAAATAAACCCTTCACGAGCTAAAACACTACTCTTAACCCCATGAAAGAAACACGAGAGAGAAGAAAGAAAAGACCCATCAAAGGAGATATATTGAAAAAAATGAAACCAAAAGAGAAAAAAAAGCAAAGCTTTATTTTTTTCTTTTTAACAAGACACAAGGAACGGTTATGTCCGTATTGATTACAGGACGTAATTCAAGCACTGTTGTACAAATCTCGATTTTTTCCTTCACCCACGAAACCGATCCTCTCTCTCTCTCTCCTCAATCCCTTTTTTTTTGTCTTCTCCTCTTCTCTCGCCCCCTCTCAGATTCCGTGTGGTTTTGCCTCAACACTCACAAACTTCTCGCCGTTTTCTTCTCTCCAAGCTTTTGCTTACTTCTCCATACCTAACCCCGATCTGCAGCAAACCAAAGCTGCTTCCTTTTTTGAAGAAGTCTCACGGTATCATGCAGAGATTCACACTCTCTCCTTCTCTCTCTCTCTCTATATATATATATTTATGCGTGTGTGTATTTATATAAATAAATATATACTTCTCTTTATTAGTTCAGATTCTGGAGACCTGTCATTTCCACCTCTCCTCAGTAACTTCAGTTTGTGAATCTCCAATACTTTATTTTCATTTATTGACATTTTCTATAATTGTTGATTTTTTTGATTTGTCATGTCACCGCTTAAAAGGAAACTGAATTTTATTACCTAAAAGATAACTAATGAGTGCCCAAAACAAAATATACGCAAGTTGTGTAAAAAGGCAAACCAAGAGTCACACGACGTTACATAAATATACTTACGGATTCCTATCGATCTTAATTCTTAAAACGATTTTTAACCATGATTAAGTAGTTTCAACCGTGGTTAAATCTACTTTTTTCAGAACGTACGGTGCATTTAAAACCGAGAGGGCCAATCTCAGCCGTCCGATAAAGACGACGCTGTAATAAATGAGCTATTATCTCCACAGTTTAACCTACTTCCCCAAAATACCCCTATCATGAGAGCGCGTGAAGCACAAAAGTTAAAACTGCGTCCGTATCCGTTATGACTTGACGGTGCCGTTACACACATCGTCTATTTTTCTTCTGTCTGGATCGTGGCAGGCAAACGTGTCGGCTTCTGCATTATACCCCGGCCAGATTTTTTTCTCCCGCTCACTTTTTTTTCTGTAACATCAGATTTTATTTTTCCGTTACTGATAATTAACACTGTTAATTGGAGTTAATTACATAAAAGTATAAAACTGCCACTGGTGTTTTTTTTTTACAGGGACCCACAGCTATGGCTAACACCCACACTCGCACAAGCCTCAGCCATGACTCTTTATGGGACGAGAGTCCCTTGGGAAGTGTGTGAGTTATGTTAGCACGTGCCGAGTCAAGCGCGTGTTTCTTTTGCTAATTTATCTTCACGCGCTTTATTTACAGCAGATAAAACTCGAAATTATCACCCAATAAATTCATGCTTACATATCAGTATTAATGAATAATCATCATTAATTGCTTTTAGTAGCAGGAAAAACGTTAAAATGATAAAAACACAACTAAAGGAAAAGAGAGTGAATGGCACGCGCTTAGGAAATGAGAGTGGAGAAGAGGAGATAAAAAAGTAATAGGAAGGGCCATGCCGAAATGTCGGAGGAGAGAGTGGTCCCCAGTTTGACACGTCAGAGTTAGAGAAATTGCCACGCTGTTAGGTCGTATTCAAGACCAACACGTGTCAAATGCTGACTTGTCTTACCAATTTTCTCAATTACAGAGGAAGAAAATCTGCTCTCTCCCGTTCTTGTTTTCTCGTTTTCTTTGATTCTCTCCTCAACGATACTGAAGAGTGAAGACTGAAGAAGATCCAAAAAAACAATTACGTTTTCAATCTTATTTATTCATTTAAAAATCCACATCCTCTATATATAATCCAAACTTGCAACACGACTCTTGTCACTATTGGGTTTCAAAACTTTTTATAGCTTAATAGAACCGTATAATTGTGTTTAAGCACCATGAAATACACATTCTATGTTACCACTCGAAATTATAGTGTAGAGTTCTCTAGCTAATTAATAAACACAAAGCATACGAAATTGTGTCTTTTGCATCACGAAGCACAATTACGCTATTTACGCATCGTTGATTAGAATATGCAAAAAACGCATTACAACAAAATTTATATTATCTTAATCAGAATATAGTCTAAAATTCTCTAGCTAGTTGATAAACATGAATCGTATGAGTTTTTTTATATTTTATAAAATTTATCCTAAAAAACACTTTTCAAAACAGTAAAAAACTATCGTACGGACAAATCCTTGCAAAGCGGAGAGGAGATTTGAAAGAATCGAATTTTATCACCAAATATGAGATTAAAGAGTACAAAATAATAGTTTTGGAAAAGGCAAGAAGATGTTCAGAAAAAAAAAAAAGGAAAAGGCAATAAGATGAAATTACCAATAATAAAATATTCAAAGGAATTATTAAAAATATTACAGTTATTCTTATCCTGCATGGGATTTCATGCTTGCTTATCACAATGAAGTGATGAACCTAAAGATGATGCCAATTTAAACGTCATTTTAGTTGCATTTTTTTTTTGTGAAAATATCAGTGTCTGTTTTAAAGTTAGTGACTAATTTAATCAGCTGCGACGGATATTCTCTCAAGTTGTAAATATTTAACAGAAGGCTCAAATAGCAAAATTAAATAAATAGGATTAGGACTATGATCATTCAAAGTGAATATGAACCCATGGATGGGAATAAATAATGACACATTTTTAATTATCTTTTATTTAAAAATTGCTTAGTGGTTTAGTGGAATCCATTACACAACATTTTTTATATTTGTTTGTTCTTCTTAATACTGTTATATTCCATTGATTATTTGACAATATAATTAATCACTTGTTTAGTCATAGTCGCCACGTACTTAAACAAGAATAAACGAATATTCCTGTTTTTATATAATCACATATTGAACTAATCAATGGTACTCATTTGTTATATTGCCGAAAAGAGAACGAAAAGTTGTGGAAAAATACCATCATGGTCCTATCTTCTATACAAAAATTAGATATGAGAACAAAGTTATGGTTATTAATCATGTTTAATAATGTAATTAACGTGTTTTGAGATCAAAGTGAATCGTTGGCTTAAGTTGAAAGTTGAAACCCAGTCGAGAAAGCAAGATTTGATTCCAAAGTCGTATATATCTTCAACCTTGAAATAATAATTTAACTTTCAAAACTTTATGCAAACTATAGTTATTGTAAATTATTTTGTACAATTTCACTATTTGATCGTACACCACATTTATTCCCTGTCTTCCATTATGTTTGTAGCAATTAAAATTTTACGACATATCAGAGATTTGTAGAGTTTTTAAATAACCAATAACTCAATTATATATACGTTGCTTTATTTTGCTTTTGAGTTGAGCCTCATTAAGAACATTTTAGGGTCAATTAGTTTAATAACCGTAGCATATAGGCCTTGCTAATTAGACAATAAACAAACGTTTGTATTTCTACTAGTATGATTTCCAAGTATGAAGTTTTCTTATTGATATCATATACAGTATCGAAGTAGACTGTTTCTAAAAATAAAATAAAAATCATTCATGTTTAGATATGCTAAAAGTTGGACACAAAAATGACTCTTCCATCCTCTTGAAGGGCAATGGGTCTCAAAACTATAAGCTCGCTAATGATCATTAACTTGTACTATTAAACAATGATTCTCTCTGTAGTCAACAATATTAATTAATATGCAAGATGAATGTTGTTCAAAGTGACTAAAAAACTTAGTGGGTTTTGAAATGATCATGTTAGAATGAAGAAAATTAAAACGGTACACTTGAGAAAAAGTGAAAATTTCAGTTTACAATAGTATCGAATTTTGCTGAGGTTTATATAACTTTGAGGGTTTGTATGCATCAATTAAAATTTTGAACGCATACTATTAATTCCGGACATTTATAGAAACGTCGTACGTGCATGTTATCCATTGTTGCTTCTGGATCTCATAAGATTATGATCGGGATTTGTGATATGTTGATTTGATTGGTACTAGTATATATTGCTGTCATTTCATATAGGTTCCGATAGTGTTATATACGACCAAAAATATAGATAATAAAGATTAAGAGTTGAATCATACAAACTTTCCAAATATGAAAAAGGTGGGACTTTCGCAATACACATAAAAGAATTCAAATGCTGTAATCATTTCGTTCGCACTCTTTGGCTCTTTCTCTGCTTCTTCTTCCAACCTGAGCCTGAGGTACTGTGGACTGTGGAGTCACGCAGACTGTCAATTATTGATGGGTATTTTGGTAAATTAAAGAAGAAATCTCGTCCGTACACACAAAGATTAAAAGGGTCACTTTCGACCTACTTCACACTCCCACTTAACCGTTAGGTCAAGCTCCCATCTGGGAGAATCTTTTTGAGATCCATTATCAAGAATTTAAAAGAGTCCGTACTTTTTTTCTTTATACTAAAGTATTTGTTTTGAAATTAGTAATTATTATTAGTCGGATGATACTATGGTTTTAGATTGGCTCTGATTGATCATTTGCGGAATGACATATACATTTTTTTGTGAATTTGCAGGATTCTGTTAATTGCATATTTTTGTGGAATCATGTTTTATGTTTTGAATCTCTGCTCTTGTGTATATTTTAGCAACAAAAATTAAATAATTAAGACTTTTGGTTAGTTAATTATCTTATCCTATTGGACCAATTGTAAGGAGTTTTGTTTCTTCAGTTTATCATGATTTTTTGTATTTAGTCATAGGACATGATGTGACGATTGATTAAGTAATGGATCAATTGACCTTTACCAAAATTGTATACATCAAAGTGAGTTAGACGCTTTTGAAAAAGGAAAAAAAGAAAACAAGAAAAAAAGAGTAACCAACATAAAATTGCAATTT